TATATATACACACACTTACACACATCAAACACATACATTTAACACACAAACATAAATACTGTCACATTAAACACACACACACACACACACACACACACACACACACACACACACACACACACACACACACACAAACACACACACAGACGTTTACAGAGAGCCTTCAGGACGTCTCCATCCACTCAACCCATCAATCGTTCATGAGGATTAAACCAGAAGACGTTTATCAGGATGTTCACGCTGCTCTTTTACACACAGATACACACTCTATATTTCACACACTCAGTGTCTTTGCATGAAGCCACGGCTCAGACTTGCGGTTCTCATTCACAGTGAGCTCTCATGAGTCAACATTAACTATAGCAATCAATAACACACTCCTCACAGTATTCATGGAGAAGCTTTATTTTTTTTCGAATAAATAATTCAGCGTACCGATATGGAGCTGTAAAACCTGCCGGAACGACTTTCTGAAAATAACCTCAGAATGCTCATCAGCCAATCAGAATCAAGCGTTCAGCAGATCTGCAGTATAATATTTAAGGTTAGTATTTAATATACAACTGGTAGCATTTTAACATGGATTAATAACAGCAATATTTATGAAGAAGCGTTATTTTTAAAACTAATTATTCAGCATAGTGATATGGAGCTGTAATGTGCTCAAAACCTGCCGGAACTACTTTCTGAAAATAACAGCATGCCTTAAAATGCTCAGAATCAAGCATTCAGCAGACCCGTTAAACGATGTTGAAGGTAAATATTAAATATACAACTGTTCATATTTAAGAATTCACTAATAATAATAGTGACATTAAGTACTAATCTGAATTTTAAATACTACTAATGATAAAACAGGTATTTCTTTACCATTTCTTCAATACTATAGTTTAATGTTTGTTAATATTGTTTTAATTTTAACATTAATTTAACGTGATATAATGATATTTTGTGTAACGCCTTTAAAAGTTACCAGCAGAGAAAACACATGAATAAATCAGAGTACAGATGAATGCTGAATTAATAAAACATGAATAAATGTCTAATATTATGACAGAATGCAATATATTAAAGCAATGTGCTATAGGGGAATTGATCAACTAAATTGGCTGTAGTGTGTGAATGTGAGTGTTTATGGGTGTTTCTCAGTACTGGGTTGCAGGTGGAAGGGCGTCCGCTGAGTAAAACTGGAATAGTTGGCGGTTCATTCAGCCGTGGCGATCCCTGATATTTATAAGGGACTAAGTCGAAGGAAAATGAATAAAGGCAATGCTAAAATAAAATAAATCAACAACAGAAGAAATAAAAAACAGTGAAGTAAATCAATTTAGCGGTTTGCAGTAAGATGTGTGCAGAGCAGCAGGCAAACGTAATGTCATTAAATATTAATAGAGTCTATAGTAATGTACTGTGATTAATTAATGTTGACTAATGAAAGCTTACTGTAATGATGTCCCGACACCAGGGGTGTCCAAACTCAGTCCTGGAGGGCCGGTGTCCTGCATAGTTTAGCTTCAACTCCCTTCAACACACCTCCTTGGATGTTTCTAGTATACCTAGTAAGAGCTTGATTAGCTAGTCCAGGTGTGTTTAATTGGGGTTGGAACTTAATCATGCAGGACACCGGCCCTCCAGGACTGAGTTTGGACACCCCATACTCATCTTTTCTGACGGAGTTTTTGTCTTGTCTTTAGTCTGAACATTAACATATCTGAATTCAAGAAGCATTTTATAGACAAGTAACATATATTCTCTTATTTCCAGTTAATTTTGAGCTCAAATAAAGTGAGTTTTGTATTAAAACAAGCAAAATAATCTTGTTTTTTGCTTTGAAATCGTGTTATTTTTCTTGTTTTAAGGACAAATTCACTTAATTTTGACTCATTGTTTCTAAAATCAACACTATGTTTGGCTTGTCTAGAAAAAGCTTCTTGATTTAAGAGTTTTGAGATATTTGGACTAGAAAGAAGGCAAGAACTCTAGGTAAGAGGAGCATTCTTGCAGTGTTTAGCCTTTCTGCTTTTCAAGCCAAACAGATGAATAATGTGAAGACGTGTAAATCAGGCGTGTCCAGACTCAGTCCTGGTGGACTGGTGTCCTGCAAAGTTCAGTTCTAACCCCAAACAGACACACCTGGGCTAATAAAGCTCTTACTAAACTTTCTAGAAACATCCGTGCAGATGTGTTGAGGCAAGTTGGAGCTCAAATCTGCAGGACACCGGCCCTCCAGGACTGAGTTTGAACACCGCTAGTGTAAATCTGTATTCATAATTATACAGCAAACACACACAATACTAGACTAGCGAGTAGTTGGAAACTCTTGAAAGAAACCTTTGGAAGTTATACAGCGAGTGAATGCAGAGATAAATAATTATTTTTACTCCTTTTTTATGTATTTCATTTTGTATTTTTTTAACAGAAGCAAAAAAAAAAAGAAGATTTTAAGCAATAATTGAGTGAGTTAATGTTTTTATTCTGCACAGATGAAGATTCTTTCACTGTTATCGGTGCTCTGTTTAATAATCATTCACTATTACTTAATTACTCTGTTAAAATAGTTGGGTTAAAAATACCCCAACATACAACCCAACTATAGGTTATTACAGCACCTTCCCAACTATAGGTTATTTTAACCCAATGGATTAGGTTATTTTGATTAAATGTTATTTTTTTCCATTCTAGTATTGCCTCTACTACTATTAATTTTATAATTATGGCTGTGTGAATAAATAAATGTCTCCGCTGTGCCCTAAAGTTAAGAATGGCGGCCGGATATCCCAAATGCGTCAATCATGTCTTCAAAAAAACAAACTGTAGAGATTAACACGGGTTTTATCTGTATATAGATCAGCGCTGGGACTATTGATATCATCAATAATGAGGAGTGCTGGTGAAACGGATATAAAAAACACCACACCAAGAGGCAATTTGATCAAACAAAAACAAGATGATTGCGCTAGAGCAGAACTTTTACAACACAAAACAACATTATGCACACTTATTAATACAGCGGTTCTGTATGTTCAATCAATTGACTGTTGAAGTTCAAAATTGTAACCCAACTGGTTGGGTTATTAATAAATAACACAATAAAGGTTAAAAATAACCCAATAAAACACCAAATATCTTTAACTTAACCATTGGGTTAAATAAATAACTCATAATTTTGTATCAATGATGATTCAGATTCATAAAAATCATATATACCTGACAAAAGTCTTGTCCTGGATCCCAGTGTAAGAGCAGCACATAATAACTCGACTTCTAGTTGATCATTTGGTGTCAGAAGGTGGATTTCTCCCATGAATCATCTGTTGATCTGCATCAATCATCACCAATACTGCAGAAGACCTACTGAAACCAGCATGGAGCCAAGAGTCTATAGATATCAGTCAAGTTTGGTGAAGGAGAAATCATGGTTTGGGGTTCATTCAGTATGGGGGCGTGCGAGAGATCTGCAGAGTGGATGATCAACATCAACAGCCTGAGGTATCAAGACATTTGTGCTGCCCATTACATTACAAACCACAGGAGAGGGACAATTCTCCAGCAGGATAGCGCTCCTGCTCATACTTCAGCCTCCACATCAAAGCTCCTGAAAGCAAAGAAGGTCAAGCTGCTCCAGGATTGGCCAGCCCAGTCACCAGAAATGAACATTATTGAGCATGTCTGGGGTAAGATGAAGGAGGAGGTGTTAAAGATGAACACAAAGAGTCTTGATGAACTCTGGGAGTCCTGCAGGAAGGCTTTCTTTGCCATTCCATATGACTTTGCTCTTACAACTAGAATATTATATTATTGATTATCAACATCAATTAACATATTTTTTTAGCATGTGCATTACTATTAATATATGCAATAAAAAAAATTATTAATATTAAACATTGACTAATAAATGCTGGAGATCGTTTTCGATTTAAAAATATATTTTATTAACTTAGTTCTTGTAAACTGAAGAAATGCTGGTTTTTGTCAAACTTGATTCATAACTGCATCCGCGTTTCATTTGTTTTTGAGATCCTGACAAAATCATAAAATGAATCATATTTATGTGTGTTTGGAGTCATAAATTATTTTAATTATCCAACAAACAACACATTACGTCTTCCCAACAGAGAAAACCAGCAACAATCAACCATGCATGATTATCTGCTGTCATGGCTCTACAGTCAATAAATGTGACTATAATGGGTCAAAAACAGACAACATAACCTAAAGGGAAGCTAACGTTCAAACGAATCTTGAACACCCTGATTATTTGGATCAGCTGTGTTTGATTAAGGTTGAAGCAAAACTGTGCAGGTTTTGTTATCGATATTCCTGACATATCAGTGGTAGACGGCAATAACTCAAAAACCTCTTACCCTAAAAAGATCGAAAGTGTGTTTCCTACAGAAAGACAAAGCTGGTTATGTTTCACAGCTGTCTTTATCTTTTTCGCTCGACATTACAACCACTGCTCTGTTTGAGCCCTTGTAATATGCGGTTAGCCGAGAGAGCTAGCGCTGAGCGGAGCTCTCAGTAAGGGAGCGTCTGAAAAGTGCTTGTTTTTTTGCTCCGCTCATCGCGAGCTCTCCCTGATAAACACATATTGTGAGGGCTTAAGATTGTGTGTGTGTTTGGTGCTGTCTATGTTTGTGTATGTGTGTGTGAATGAGAGACAGTGTGGTGCTGTGTGTCTATACAGACAGCTTGTTTTAGCCTCCCCCAGAATATAACACTGTGTATGGAAAGTATCGTCAATGCACTGTGATAT